TCCCATAAAGTATCAAAACTAGACGGTTCATAATGTTTAAAAGTATAAATACTTGTAGAAAGTATTGAAACTTTTGCAGGAGTATCAATACTCTTGGGCTAGTATCGATACTTGCAGTATGTTTTGGACAAAAATGTCAGTTTTTAAAGGAGTTAGACTTAAGGTACCCCAACACTTCAGTATTAAATAAGACTTCAAGCGAGAATAATTAATATCATAACATTAGAAACAAGATATAGCTAGGTTTACATAAAACTAGCCTTGTTTGTTGCTTGGGAAACAATCAAGACACCCGAGTTCCTTTTAGCATAAATACAATAGACGGTGTAACCAAGTCAGTGTCATGGCAGTTCAACAGCCGAGTGGGCGCCATATGCCCTAAGACTTGACGGAGTAAGTCAGTTGGTGTATGCTTCCGATGTAGAATTTTGGATCTCACCCAGGAGTACCCGATGGTACTTTAGCAGTGCTAGAGGGGTGCGTGAGCTCCGAGATGCAAAATCCCTCAGCCACACCATGATGTCAACCACATATTATTAGTACAATATTTAGCATGTTCAGACCTATGCTACTTGTCACTTCATCTAGTGAATACATATAGTATAGTACAGTTTTCAGTGAGGCACTGACCTTGTAAGCTCAACATTCGAATGTGTTTCCGTGTGCAGGTTCTTAGGGGTAGATTATGGGGTGCTATCGTCATCAAATATTCCAATGCGGCAGAGCTGATTTCCAGAGACCTTTTAGAGTACGTCTTGAGTCATCTTTAGAGGGCATGTACTGTTATAGACCTTGTTATGTATTCAGTCATAACTCTTATTAAACTCAATATTAGTATTTTTATAGATGCATTTTGGGAACTCCCTATAAATTGTAAACCCAAATTTTATTATGTTTTTTATGTTATATCAAGGATGATTAAATTTCAGAAAATTTACAACCAGTTTTAAAAGAAAAAATTTTGGGTCACTTTTTCGATAGTCTCGTGTATCATTATAATCCATGGATCTTCAGGTCGAACTAGATTAGAGTGTTACATTAATGACTAAAATGTGAGAAATCTAAAGTTAAGGGACTAAAATATAGAAAGTCTAAAGTTAAGGGACCAAATCTAAAGTTTAAGGATCTAATTATTAATTGAATTAATTATTTTAATCGAAAAATCAATTTGAATCCTTGGGCATGAAGGCAATGACCAAATTAAAAAATTTCCTAATCTAAAAAAGACTAAAGTGTGAAGAAACTAAGTTAAAGGATTACATTAGAATATAGGTATTAACATGCTAAGATTAGAATAAATTAAATTAAATTTAAAAGTAACATAATAATTTACCTTAATGAACATACGTGAAAAGGAATAAAAATAATTAAATTTAAAACAATGTAAATAAAAATAAATAATTTTAAAAGGAAAGAATAACTATGAAAAGAAAAGAAAAAATCAATTAAAATAAATAAATATAATATCGGAAATTTTGATTCGAACGACTTGAAAAGAAAAACAAATTAAAAAGTTGATAAAATAAGAATATGATAAAATTAATAATTCCAAATTAATATAAAATTAACAGCTCCCATCGCCGTGAGACAAGGCCGAGACTTTTAGAGCTATGTGACTACAGATGAGGGATCGATTGACACTGGGGGAGCATGATCAACATCATTAGTGGGGCATTGGAGGTCTCTTTCTCCTGCTCTGATTTTGCAGAGGATATTCACCCTCGTTGTGGTCCTTGGTAGAGGGAGAGCGGACCAGATGGTGAGCGCGTGAGCCCACGCATGCCAGCTGTGAACAGCTTCGCATGGAAGCTTCTGGAAAGGCGGCGGGAGCTGCAATCATAGAAACCCTAGGGTTTCTGCTTAGTTTGGGTAGTGGGCTTCCATTTAGGCTTAGGACAAATGTAAATGGGTCAAGGGTTTGAATGTAAAAATGAGTCTAGAGAGTTAAATGGGTAAGTTTTGGTGCAATGGGTCACGTAATGTCAAATGTAAATGGGTTTGGGTTATTTGATGGACTTTAGTGTAAATGGACATTTATTTTGAATGTGTTTAGATTTGGATATTTAGTAAATACGAACTTTAATTTTAATTTCAAAATGAATATATGGTTTCAAACCCACCCAATTGAACCCAATTAAGCAAAGCCTTAAATCCATTCACGACCAAAAATCTTCAATGTTCCCGTTAATTGCACGATCCCATGGACCACTTTCACAAGTAATTTTTGAACACATAAACAAACTCTGATCTTGTATCATAAAATCAAAAAAAAATAATAAAAGATTACAAGGAAGGGAATATAAAGTGCCCCCACTGTGTATGAACAATTCCCAAAAGGATCGGTAAAAAAGAGACATATGTAAAGATAATACCTTGAAGGACAGAAGCAACCTTCGAAGCGTCAGAGTAACGTGGAAGGGCGAAGCCATTCTTTTGAAGGGCCAACTTGGCTGCACCGATGTTGCCTTCACGAAGCATGCGGAGTTCATTGGGGGCACCAAGCATAGTAGCTTCCACCATCCTCACCGTACACTTTCTTTGCCAACTTTGGAGAAAGATGTAGTTCCACTTCCATCTTCTCTATTCACTAATGAAATTAACTCAAAATCCGTTGACGCAAAACGAAAATATTCAAGTGGAGAACGAATAATTGAAGCATTGAAATTTCGAGGTGTGATAGAAGAGTATTTATTGACCGAGGAATTGTACGAATCCAATATTTTCAAAACAAATAACATTTGTTGTTACACGACTCTCTAAAAGTTCAATATAAATAATCTTTAAAAAAATATAGATAAAAATTTGACTTATCCATTTAATAAAAAATTTTGACTTATTCATGTCAAATAAAAAATCAATTATCTTAATTGATTCAAGATTTTGATTAATGTAAAAAAAAATTGTATACGTAAACAATTAATTATCTTATTTGAGGCCTTATTAATGATTAATCAAATAGATTTAAAAATGAATATTAATTTTCTTCAAGAGAATGTTTATGTATTGAGTGCCATTATACATGTCAGTTGGCTGGCGTAAAATATTTCTAAAAATAGGTTTAATATAAAATTAAATACTTAAATTATATCTAGAAAAACTTCTTCGTGTTAAAAGAATTTTTGTTAAAAATATGTTTAACATTTTCTCTATTATATTTTTAAGTATCTATCTATATTTTTATTTTTAATAATAAAATATTTTTTTTAAATTAACATTTTATTTATATTTTTAAAATTAAAATTTTATTTATTATTTTTAAAATTAAAATATTAAAAAATCAATTTTTAGAAAAAAAGGTCGCACCTCACCCTCACCACCCACTGTCCCCTTCTCTCCCCTTCCCCGCAGCAGTTTACCAATATGCTCAAATGGTGAAAAAAAAGGAACGAATAATGAAGAAGGTCGTCTGACGTCACTGCTATCGTCGGTCTCCCTTCCCCAGGTTGAACCATCGGAACTAAATTCAAACTAAATCTCTCACCCATTAAATTTAGGCTTAGGGATTTTAAGTTTAGAGATTTATAGATTTAGAGAGATTTAAACAATAATAAAAGGGATGATCGACAATTGAAGTCTAACGAAGGGTGGATGGCCAGCCACGACTGGTTGAGATATAAAATAAGGATTTTAGTATTTTAGGGATTTGAATGAAATATTTTAGAGTTTCAAGGATTTTTTTGTGATTTTGAAAAAATAGATTTTTTTAAATTAATAATTTTTATTTTATAAAAAAACTTCAAAAAATATGAGAGCAATTTCTGTCAGATAACAGTCAAATTTAATAGCCATTATGGTGTAAGCATCTAAAAGTATAATGTTGGAAATTTTAGACACCTATTTTTAACGAAAAAATCTTTAGACACTAAATCATATTTTGAAGTACAGTTCAGACACTTACTTTTATATTAAGTCCGAAAAATAATAATAATCTATGATTAATCAAATCAAATATGAAAACTAATTTTCCCTCTCTTTTTCTCTAATCTAATTTTTCTCTTAGTATTTTTATAATGTCTCTTTTTTTCTTTTAATTTTTATTTAGTCTTTGACGGTATTAATTTTAATATTGTTGTCCGTCATGATTATTTTTTTTTGTTCTTTTTCATACTATATCATTTGTTTCTCTTTTTTTCTTGTGTTATTTTCAAATTTAAATAAGAATCCATGTCCTTATAACATGTTTTTCCCAGCTCTTGCGACACGTTTTTATACTCTTGTGACACGTTCCTTAGGACTTTTGGTTGGTTTTTTGCATACATTTGTTGTTGTGTTGGTGCTCACACAAAATCCTCACGACATTTTATTTTTAATTGGTTTGTCGATGGTCACGTAGTATCAAACTCTCAGTGGAAATGATTCTTTTTCCTTCATATCTTTGGATTTAATATTTTTATTTTATGTACGAGTTTTTTGGTGATTATTATCCTCAAGTTTCTCTTTGGGTGTATTTTTATTTTGATTCATTCCATTGTTTTTATAAATGAACTTTAATACATTTAAAATAATGGGTAGTCTATTTATTTTGAATGTTTGTCATATATATGATGTAAAGAGCATGCAAGAAACATATGTAATAAAGAGATTTCTTTTTGTGTTCCACGATTATTTCTTGTTACGCTGATATTTTGATTAAATATGAAAAGATGCTTCTAGTGCTCTTTATTATTCTTTTCGAAATCCCGTGATTGAGGAATTTAATGTAAATGTTGATGATGAGGTGGAGATTGATGATGATCAGATATATGATAAGGTAGAAAAATTGGATCAAGAAATACCTCCAAATAACACTCAAGGAACCACCCCAAAATATAATTCTGATGTTCCTCCAAGTGGCCCTTTTAAGAGAGCAAGATAATATGAAGTTTGGAAAGACTTGGGAAACCTGAAATGATAGACAATCAGTGAAAGATAAGATGTTTACTTTGCAAGGAACAACTAAAAGTACTTATTTATGGAAGTACTACTCATTATAAGCGTCACTTGGATAAATATCCACAAAAATGAATAAAGTTGCGAAAACAAACTTAATTAACTTCCTTCCATCGGATTCAAGTGTTGGATCACCTGATTTTTCATTTGTTAGTGCTTTGCATGATGGCAAGTTTGATGTTTTAAAGTTTAGAGAAGGCATTTCTCATTGGATTGTTATGCATGAAAATACCTTCCCAGTTGTTGAAGAAGAAGGTTTTAACTTGATGTTGAAACGAGGAATCCCACAATGGAAAAATGTGTCTCGTCATACTATAAGAAGTGATGCTTTCAAAACTTATGAGATTGAGAAGAGAAAGTTAAAAGAGTTGTTAAAGAACATAGATAGAATTTCATTGACCACTGATATATGGCATTCAAGTCCTCAAAAGATTGAGTATATGGTTCTTACCTCTCACTTTGTTGATCATGATTAGAAACTTTAAAAGCAAATATTGAGGTTTGTTCACGTACCACCTCCTCGAAAAGGCAAATACATTGCCAATTGCATATTCAAATGTTTAAAGGGGTGGGATATTAAGAATAAAGTAAGTTATTCTTCTTTTAAGTAATGTTTGCATACTTTTTTAATATTATATAAAATTCTATTCACTTATTATATTTATTTATTTATTTGCTAGGTTTTTACAATTTCGGTGGATAATGCAACTACAAATGATGTTTGTATAGAAATTTTAAAGTATACATTCTCAGTGACTAAGAGATTGAATAATGGTGGAAAGTTGTGCCATGTTCATTGTTGTGCTCACATTTTGAACATTATCATTCAAAATGGGTTGAAAAAAGTGAAAACAATCATCAATAATTTTCATGATACCGTTAATTACATCAATGGTAGTGAGCATCGGTTGAACAAGTTTGCCGAACTTGTTGGACAATTCAACATAAAGCATAAAAGGTTGGTTTTTGAATTTAAGACAAGGTGGAACTCAACTTATTACATGCTAGCATGTGCAATCAAATTTAAAAAGGGATTTTCTAGACTTGCATTGGAGGATAAAGATTATGTTTATTGTCCTAGTGCTAGTGATCGGGGGAAATTGAGAAGTTGCTTGATATTTTAGTTGTGTTTTCCAATGCTACCAATATTATCTCGGGACCGGAATATCCAACCTCTAATTTATTTCTTGGTGAAGTTTATAAGATTAAAATGTTGTTAGATGATAAATTCAAATCTCCTGATGAATTTGTTAGTGATATGATTAAGAATAATGAAAGAAAGATTTGATGAGTATTGGGGTGAATGTAATTTAATTATGGCTATAGGTTGTGTGTTAGATCTTCGTTTTAAAATGAAAGGATTTGAAGTGACTTGTTGCGTGTTGTGAGTACTATAAAATTATACGCAAATAATGTGCAAGTATACACAATCGCTCAAGTAATAAAGTGATGAGTGAGTATCGTCTCCACAGGGATTGGTGGAAATTATAAAGTTTAACCAAAGTAAAGTACTACTCTATCTAAGTATAGTTAGTGATGATATATATCAATGGAGAATGTCACGACAATGAAAAATATGTTGGTGGATATGTATTGATAGTATGATGTGGTAGTAGGTGAAAATGTAGTGGCAAGAACATATTTTAATGTTGAAACTGATAGAAATGTCAACACAATGAAAAAGGATAAAAACAGTAAATAAATGATAGCTTGATAATCCTTACACAACAAGCTTCCACGGGAATTAATGGTAGGGATTGATTTAATGATGCTAAAACTTATCTCTCAAGCAAATTTGATTTATATAAGCGTCACTTGCTCGACAGGGTTTGCTGAAAGTGCTCCCGCTATCTTTAGTCAAAGGAACCTAATAGAATATAATGCCACAACATCTCCTCTCAGTCTACCCCATGGTAGCCTATGCTATTGATAAAAACTACCCATCTTAGTCGTTGAAATCCTATCTTAGTTTCTCTCAAGCACTACGGGATTAGGATATAGTATTGCTATCTCGGTTCTAAGCTTAAGAAAACTACACCCCATTGCTTATGTGGATCTTACTTGTGTTTCTCTCAAATACTACAAGTATTAATGACCAAGTTTCTCTCGAACACCTAGCCTTCATCTAAGTAATGAACACCCTCATGCCTCTGACAAACTTAGAAAATGAAGTATTCATAAGAAAACAAGCAAATGCAAAAGATAAATTTATACCATTAAAATAATATCAAACATCCATAAAATCAACCCCATCAAATAAGGTTAGTTCATGGCGGGGTTTGAATCATCCATGAAATAAAAAAATGAAAAGCATTCGTTCTTACAACCTAATATCAAGTGAAAAATAACAGCAAAGGGGAAGAGAGAAGAAGCCTTCGACGCGCGCAGCTGGAGCTTTCCTCAACCATAACGACTCACCTTAGCTTGCTAGCTCATCTCGGACGCCTAGCTCGTCACTCCTTGGAGCTCGTTAATAGAGGAACACCCTAAGAGAATGGAAGCAAGTATACGGTGGAAAAGGTGAAGAAAATCTAGATAAAGATGGTCAATGCATCCCCCTTATTTCTCTTTTATATGAGGTGTATTAAATAATAAAAAATATCAAAGGGTATTAATGGGCTTTAACACTCTAATTACCCATCATACCCCTAGAGTCACTCGTTGGGCATGAGTCTTACCCTCCCAAGTGGCAGTGGTCCCCAGTAGGCAGTTATAACCATCAGACACGTGCCTTGTCAGTTATCCTTTTATAAAAATATTTGTTTGTCCTTTTCTAAATGCCAAGGCATTTCAATATGCTTCTGCAACGTGTGATGTCATGACATTCCTTCCCATATCAACCTTTTGCTTGCTATTTCCTGCACAACATAAACAACCACACCTTTCCCTCATACACCTTTACAAGATAAAATAGCACCACCACCACTATTGCAACTATATGCAGCTACATGATCCTAAAATAATCGAAATGAGCTTTTAAACAAACAATAAATTAAGTGAAAATACCTTAAAATTAGCCATTTTAGGGAGTTATCATGACTTTCCCGAATAAGTTTCCTTTAGAAGTTGTTCGAGATAACATTCGTAAAGTTTGAGAAACTTTGTATCAACTTTATGATGAGTATGTTAGTTTTTATTATCCTTCCACAATGGAAAAAAAGTGGAGAAAATGGAGTTGAAAGTACTTCACATCTTAGTAGAGGAAAAAGCACATCTAATAAATAAAGTGGCTAACAATGAAGTGTTGACTAATGTTGAAAAGAATGAAGTTGATTTGTTTCTTGAGGATGTATGTGTAATGGATAAAGGTGACCAATTTGAACCTATAAGATGGTGGAACGATCAATCTTTGAAGTTTCGTATTTTATTAAAGTTAGCTATTGATGTTTTAGAATTCTGATAACAATTGTAGCTTATGAGGCTACATTTAGTGCAGGGATTATAGAGCTTCAGTATCTCCAGATATCGTGCAAATGTTGATTTGTAGTGGAGATTGGTGTTGATCTCTCCATGAAGTGAAGAAAAAGAACAAAGTAAAACTATTTAAAATTAAGCATATTAATTGATTTAGTTTTATATTATTCATGAAAAAGTAAAAATATTTATTTTAGTTTCTTATTATAAGATATTCTAATTGTTTTTAGGGTAAAGTATAATAATGGTCACTGAACATTTCTAAAGCTTGCATTTAGGTCCCTTAACTTTTAAAACTTGCAATACAGTCCTCCAACATTTATTCCGTTTACAATATGGTCCCCCGACTTAAACCACCGTTAGAAAATTAGGGTAAATTATATAAACGGTCATTGAACTTTTAGGCACTTGAATTTAGGTCCCCCAACTTTTAAAACCTGACCTGTAATTTGAACAACGAGTTCTTATTTGTGACATTCATAAGTTCGTCATTACATTGTCCTCTTCGGTAAGCCACAACTGCCAAGGTGGGATCACGTTTCTCACAGTACTTACCACAACTGTCAAAAGAATATGTTAGAACGAGTGGCTTTAGACCCTTTGGAGCTCGAGTAGCCAAATGATCTCCTGGCATCCCTCCGTGATTGCATACCACTGCTTTTATCGAACGAATAACTCTAACCATCTGCAGCTGCTCTGGATGTATGTGCAAAATGTTTCTTCTACAAGTTCCTTGTCTCTTCTTCAGAGTCATACCTTGAGCGCTGCAGAAAGACAATGTTGCAAGATAAATACCATATTTTCCAAGAATAACATATACCATAATAAATAAAGTTATTATAATGCTCCTCAAAAATTCGAAGAGGATAACATATACCTTGGTAGAGTCTGAAAGTACTGCATATGCTTCTCCAATTATCTTAAATAGTTTGTCAACATCCTTGTAGGCTTCTTCTCTTATGTCCTTCCAGATTTTATCGTCTCCATTTTCAGTTCTTACCAGGGATTGAACAGCCTACATGTGTAAAAAACCTGTCAGATCACCACCAAAATTCTAAAACGTATAGCAGCAGATATAAGAAACCTTGTCAGGATGATGCCTAAGAGCAGCTTTCCTATATGCCTTCTTTATTTCTGCTGGTGAAGCAGATGGTTCAATCCCCCTGCCATTACAGTAAAAATAACATACATGGTTATAGATGAATGGAAAGTCTTAAACCCCTTTCACGAAATCTGAAATTTACTACCCACACAATTATATTAGAAAGGTTTAAGGTAAAAAGCTAACGAAGTATTTAATATTAAGCCAAAGAAGAAATTAGCATCAAGATCCAAGTATATAAGAAACTCACAAGATGAGATAGAAATCCAAAGGCACTTCCTTTTTGCTTTGTTCCTCAATTTCAGAAAGCCACGAACGAGCATGTCTAGTATCGTTTGCCAAGTTAACAGATCTTTCAGATAATCCAGTTTGATTGGTCATCTCCATTTTCTTCATGAGAAGAGAAAGAAGTCTTTCAAGATCACTATTTGCTTTCCCATAATCTCTAATCTTCACATATAATGTGGCACGTCTAGAAAGTGCCTGCAAAGAAAATTTTAAAATGATCTATAATTTCACAATAAATCTAACCATTTATGTTGACTTTGGTTCAAGCACGCATCCTACACAGTATAAAACCAAGAAATTCCCCTAGAAGGTGATAGGAAGCCAAAAAATGTATTGAAAGTGGATAAACACACAACAAAGGATGCGCCTGAGGCTCCAATCATCAGAAAGCAATATTTTCCAGCAGTGAATACTTGCAATATATATCTAAAAAGAATAATAAAATGTAGTCCCAAAGTCCAGAGTCCAGAATTCATACAATCATTTTCTGTTGCTGCCTACTTTTGAGATCCATACAACACAATACTAAGCCAAACTTATCAGGCATACATGAGAACTACTGGAAAAAATAATTGTTGTTAATGAGAAAGAGAACAAGGAATTCCCCATTTTAACCAGCAAATTAAAAATAATTTCTAGTAAAGGGATTTGGTTTATGCATTTTCTATGTCCTTAGCATTCAGCATTTATAATTTCCTTTTTTTCTTTTGTTCATATTCAACATTTATAGTTTATTGCACCTTTCAGTAACATTTTATGTGCCAACCACTGCTGCTTAGAACAGAATAAACAATAGACTGATAAGCAAGAATCGTCTGCTTGTCAATACAATGATAAAATTATCCAGGCAGTCCTACAAATGAGCTTGCGCATATGCTTAGTAGCTATTAGATGACTTCATTCACTTTCTCCCTTTGGAGGTATTTTTCAGTTAGATTAACCAATTTTATTTGGAATACATAATGGACCGACTGATTCAATCTCCCTACTCAATTCCTCAAACCACTTCCTCCGATAGAAAATCATATGAACAGGTAAGAGCACAAAGATAAATCAGTTTGCAGGAAAAAAAACCTTCAAATAATTGCCATCAAGTGCTATGGCGAGGTTGCAATCAGCAATAGCATCAGTGACTTGGCCCAGTCCTTTGTATGCAGTAGCACAATTGCAAAAACAAATAGCTGCAAAAGGACGTGACTCTACATTGCAAGTTTTAAAAATTGAGGGACCTAAATTCAAGTGCCTGAAAAGCTCAATGACCATTTATATAATTTACCCTAATTTTCTAACGGTAGTTTAACAGCGGGACCATATTGCAAACGGAATAAATGTTGGGGATTGTATTGCAAGTTTTAAAAGTTGAGAGACCTAAATGCAAGCTTAAAAAATATTAAGTGACCATTATTATACTTTACCCTTGTTTTTATTGATAGGATGACTATGTTAATCAAACAAAGAAAATTATTCTCTTAATTTTGTAATTTGGTGATTGCAACCAACAATGAATGGAGTGAAGACATGTTGATTTCCATATTTTTAGGATTGATTAAGTATTGTTTAACTTTTTTAAAAAAAAAATGTTTTTAATATGTTAGTTTGATGTATTTGTAGATTGTTACTTTGATAAATTTTTAAATTATTACTTTGCTTATAATATATTAGTTTGATGTATTTGTAGATTGTTACTTTAATAAATTTCTAAATTGTTACTTTGTTTTTAATATGTATACATTAAATTCTATATAATATTATTAAATTTACTTATTGTTAAAAAATAAAATAAAAATTTTAATAACTTTAACAAGTAACAAATTGAGTCAAACAATAATTTTTTTTAACAAACATGAGTTAAGTACTACCTAACTCATTATCGTCTTATTCAATAAATACCCTTAATCGCCATCTCTCTAACGATTAACGACCCCTCTTGCCAGGTTTGCTGTTTCGAAGAAACAAATTCCAGTTTTCTTCGACCCCCCCCCCTCCAACATTTTTTATTTAAAATAAATATTAAAAATCATATATTCAATATATGGATAGTAAATTTTATTGAAGCGTGTTGTTACATTGAAAATTAAAATCTATATTTGTATATTGTAGCCATATAGTGAAATTTAATCCTCTTAACATTCATTTTCTGTGAATTTGGATTTTTTTAGTATTTTCTTTTTGGGAGGAGTTTTGATAATTGAAATACTTATTTTATGCTTCTTTGAATGATTACCGCAAGGGATTGTTCAGTTCAGGTGGAAATTTATAACAAAGGCCAACAATTCATTTCTGCCTACTTTAAAAATAGAACATCTAAGTTCAAATAGACCATGTATCCAAAATAGATATACAGAAAATTTAACATAGAACCTCACACAACCTACTTTAAAAATACCATAACCTTACCCTAATTACAGAACCAGTAAGATCCCCTTTCAAGATGAAGTAAACTTGGTGACGGCCTTGGTACCTTCAGAAACTGCGTGCTTGGCAAGCTCACCGGAAGCACAAGCCTAACAGCGGTCTGGATTTCCTGGAAGTGATTGTGGGCTTCTTGTTGTACCTCGCCAGTCTCGAAGCCTCTTGTGCAAGCTTCTCGAAGATATCGTTGATGAAGCTGTTCATGATTCCCATCGCTTTGCTTGAGATCCCTATATCCGGGTGGACTTGCTTTAGGACCTTGAAGATATAGATCTTGTAGGTCTCAACGCTCTTCTTCACCCTCTTCTTCTTCTTGTCTCCTGCGACTGCTCCGCTCTCCTTCGGAAGCTTCTTCCTGCCTTTGGCTTCTTCTCCGGGAGCTTTCTCGGCGACGGTTTTCTTCTCCTCAGCTGGCTTCTTCTCCGCTGGCTTCTTCTCAGCTTTCGGTGCCATTTTCCTTGCTAAGGGTTAGACCTCGATCGGGTTTGGGGAAAAAGAGATGAGAGATTCGAGTTCGATGAAAATTTGAGGTGAGGATACCTGTGAAGGAAACTATTGGTGGCAATTATAGAGAGACGAGTGGGGAATAATTGGTTTGTTTGGGTTTCACGAGGATCAGTGACGTGGTAGATCTAGACCGTTGGATATGAGGGGATGAATTGACCGTAGAGATGGCTTGGATATTTCATATTTGTGATTCATTGCCTTGCGACGCGGATTGCTGAGTTGGCGTAATGTTACCTCCAAAATTACAGATAATGCTCTTACAAAAGCACCCTTTAACGAGGTTACACGTGGGAACCTCTCAGTTATTCTAAGATATTTTGAATTTTAATTCTAAACAACTTTTATATTTATTTTAAAATCAAGGTTATTTATAAAATATTCATTTAAAAATTAATCAAACCACTATTTTCAAGTTTCTTTTAATTTCTCTTCCAATCATTATTTTTGTCAAATATATTTTATATCTTTATTCATACAACACATAAAATTTAAGTAGGCTTTTATCATATCATTCTATCAAAGTTTTGTTACTTTTTAAATCTTTTATATTCTTTTATCCAAACAATAGCTCTATAGAAATAAAATATTAAATTTTTAATGAAATGTCACTATTTGTGAATTTTTCAAATCCTCTTCTTATTTCACCCTTATTAAAGGCAACATATAAATTTATTCTTTTTTCTGCTTGAATTATCAATTTTAAAAAATTAAAAAATTAAATGGAGATTATAAAAGCACATATAAACATAATATTTTTCATAAATATCCAAAAGTAATTTTTTCTCACAAAATTATTTTATAAATATGCGTTATTATAAATAATGATACAATATTTTTCGTTTAATAAAATCAAAATCATTCAAATATAATATTTTTAGGGTAAAGTATACAAATGAACTCCGTCGATAATCAAAAATTAAAAAAAATGATCCACTAATTATAGATTGTTACTTTGTCGAGTCACTCAACTATTAAAAGTTACAAAATGTATGTTCTAAACTCGTCATTTTTGTTAAAATTTGATGGCATAAATTTTTAACGTAAAAAAGAATGATTTGGAACATAATGAATAATCATGTGATCATTTGGTATTTTTAATAGTCGAGGTTTTTCAAGAAAAAAATAGTCGAGAGACTTAACAAAGTAACATTCTATAATTAGAGGATTATTGTATTTTTTAATAGTTTAGAACTTACTAAAATAATATCCTATACACTTTATCCTATCTTTATAAGTTTAAATTGAATTATCAATATATTCATTTTATTTTTGTTAAAGTTATATATTTTTACTAAACTTTAATATTTATGATTTTGAATGATGATTAATTTGAAATATTAACATCATTAAAAGTTTTAATTAAATTCAATTGTATTATAATTAAAATTAAAAATCCTACAAGACAACAAATATTTTGCCCCTCATAGTATTCATTAACTTTTTTTAGAATTTTTTTTGGTAATATATTTTTTTGCAGAACAGGCAGCAGGTCTCTCAGAGGTTCCAGCAGCTCCATTCTTCTAACCCAAAAAAATGTTAAAACTCGAACAAAAATATACAAACAGATATGACTGCATCGATAAATAAACTACAATAAGAGATTAAACTACTGAAAGACCACCGAAATTACAAATCAGAATTAAACATAGTGAGAAAACTATCTACGAACGCAAATGGTGTATCCAAATACAATATAAGGTCTAAAGCATGGAAGATCAACTCAATGATATATAAACATCATTTGATTAGTCGTGATAACATCAAATATAACCCTACAAAAATAGTGAAAGAAAAAATGACCAACGACTGAGAAAGAAAATAAAAGCATGTCAAAAGACATGAAACCATGCCATAAAAATATTAAAAATATATAATAAGTCAGAGTTATTAAAAATTAAATAATGTCGCAGCCGTCTTTCAGATTTGGTATAAATACTAAAACTCATAAACACTTTTCATTTTCTCCCCTCGCGCCAAAATAGATTAAAATGAGCCCCAAAAAATTCTCTGAAATGTTATTGGGTGCTCTTCATCTGATGAAGAACACCGTCGTGGGTTCAAAGGAACCCATATTCTGGCCACCGCCGCCTGGGTTCAAAGGAACCCAGATTCCGGCCGCCGTTCATCGGCGGCGAAGAACACCGTTGTGGGTTCAAAGGAACCCAGATTCCGGCCGCTGTTCATCGCGGCGAAAATTATTTTTTTGTTTTTCAAAAGTTCTTCTTCCCTACTTTTCAAAAATCAAAGTGGTTTCTTGAAAATCGCCTCGGGGAGGGCTAAATCTGATAAAGAAGTTCTCGAAACCCTCTCCCGTTCATCGACTCAAACCCCTTTTTCATTTTTTCCGAATCAAAATAAAATGGAAAAAAACAAAATACCTTCATGCAATAACAAAATCGAGAAAATGTGAGAACTTTTTACCCTTTTATTGTTTTTCGAAGTTTTACAATGCTCGGATTTCTTATGTATTTTTTTACTGTGATTTTCCTTTATATTTCTTGTGATTTACATGCATATTTATCTTAGGAAAGCTATTTTAGTTCATTTTTTCCTAGAGTTTTACTCGAACTAAAATCCTTGTTTGTTGTTGTTGAGTCCCATGAATCCACGACACCGGGAACTCGGAGGTGGCTTTGTTGACTGAGTGGAGTTGCGACTGGGATGAAACTCCTTGCGGAGCTTAGAGAAGGGGGCAAGAGTTAGGGTTTGCAAACCTTAACTATTTCGGTTTGGGCTTCAGTGGACCCGGGTCTCAGGTCCTGGTTTACTGTCGGGTTGGACTGCTAGGTTTATTTGTACTGGGGCTTTGGGCCTGAAAAATAAAAAAAATAATAATATGTATATGTGTAAAAATAAAATGTAATGTAAGTATAATATATATATATATAATATATACATTATATAATTATAGTACACAACATGCTATGTATATACTACACATAATCATATAATACGCTTATAGTATAAGGATGAAAATTGGTGTCTACAAATACATAAAAAAACAAAAAATGATATATAAATATATAAAAATAAAAAATACTGACGATGAACACTAATTATAATATCACCGCCTTTCGAGCAAAGAAGAAAAGAAGGGCAAACGACGCAGATAGAGTTTTAGAGCTAAGTAGAACCTACCAACTTGTAGACAAAAAATAACAAGAACAATCGTAATGCTAAAACTTGCATTAAATTAAGTCGTTAATTTATTAGGTAAACTATTTTATTGGTCATTTATATTTGTATTCTTTACTCACTGAATTTAAAAAAATTTAGAGACAAAAAATCAA